GCTGATTGACAGGAACTTTCAGGTTTCTCTCTTCGCTTTTTCTGTTCGGTTCATATCAAAGTTGCTCCAAAAAAATAGTTAGGATATCAAACTGAACAGCTCCGCTGAGGTCTCCTTTTTTAACTCATTGACTGCCAGCCATTTTCAGAACAGAGAGTCCCATACTGCCAGAGTTTTTTGAGCATTTTGACTGATTTTTCAAGAGCCACAGAATAGTTTGTGCTATGACTATGTAAACACCGAACACACCAAAAGAAAGAGTGGACTCTTTTCTTTCATCAGGAAAAAAAATGTGTTTCTACCTTATTCCGTTCTTCCTGGACTTGCGTCTCACCGGCGCCATGTTCTCTCATAGTGAACCGTTAGCTTTTTCTTATTTGCCTACAGTCTATGCTCATCTCCCATCAAAAGTGGCACTGCCACCTAGAGGGTAAATTTGTTACTACATACTCTGTCTAGAAGCCTGATATTTACGGACAAGCTTTAGCAGATCGTCCCCCAGCCACTCTCGTTGAAAAACATAAAAGACGTCTATAGACGTCTTTGGCAGTCAACTGTTGTATTTGAATTGACGTCTATAGACGTCTTTTGCAGCCATTGAGTTAAATGGACGTCAGCCTTGTGTTAGAGGCCAGATTGAGAGACGTGTCCTCATTCCCTGCTGTGGATACTTGGTCCTGCAGGTGTCCATGATGGCGGTGGACGACATGTATGGAGACGTGCCAATGATCGAGAGGGACCGTTACTGGAACGATTCCAATCCAAGGCCCCCCTACACGGCAGCCACCCTCTTCGTTCTCCGAAAACCCTCTTTTCAAGGGTCCACGTTCGACATGGCGTAAGCTTTCTCTGTTTGAACTGACTTTGAGAATGTCAAACTCGGATTAGAAAGCTAGGACACGGATGAGGAACGATGTTTTCACAGATAGGCCTTTAGTAGTGCCCCGTCTGAATCAATACACTCCTCAATAACTAAAAAAATAACCACATCTATTACAGCCTCATAAACTCGCAATATTATTTAGGAAAAAAGCAAAATATTACACAGTTATTTTTCTTGAAAAGTCCGTCTTGAAAATGGCCTTGATACTAAATCATCCACCAAATCAATTTCTTCTCCTCCTTCAGCCATTGTGGGGTGATAAAATAGCTATAACAACTATATTTGGGTTAGTTTGCTAGCTTTAGCTGGTACGCTATCTGACTATCCAATCAGAAGGCAGAGGGCTAGAAAGCCCTGGTGTCACCAACTTAAATCTGAATGGTTAAAGCAACAGTTTAATGACATTTATTTTCTGTTAGAGGGATTGTGAAGGCCTCCAGGCAGACATCTTTGACTTTGACCCTGCCTAGCAACAAGTGACGGCTTAAATGTGATTGGTTAAATGCTTTTATATAAAAATACATGTCTGGAAGCAGCACAACCAGGGGAAAAGCTATGAAAGGAAGCAGACAGACCATTTGGGAATATAATAAGTATTCATGGACAAAATATAAATAACATCAGTCTGTGATTCAGACATTTTCTCAGCCTATCAGAGAAGGCCCATCACTGATGTTTCCCCTCACAGGATCCCGAAGGAGGAGATGCACTTCCAGCCTCTGGAGGACATCGCCGAGAACATGGAGGAGTCGGGCTCCCACCACCCCAACATGGCGCTGTTCAACCGCCTGCTGAACGCCGCCCCCTCCCCGTCGGGCTTCATGGGGGGGGCCCTCCGCCGGACCTCCGCGCAGCTGCAGAGGCTGTACCACTCCCCCAGCATCGACCGTTGCCCTAGCGACGAGGAGGAGGAGGAGGAGGAGGGCTGCAAGGTGGGAAAAGGCGGGTCCCTGCCCTCGGGTTTGGGCCAGGACACGCAGAGCACCGTCTGCAGTTTCCGGGACGAGAGGAGCCCCAAGACCCCCAAAACCCCCCTGCTGGAGATCCGGTTCTCAGAGGAACCGGACGGGAACCGAAACCCCCCCGAGATCCAGACCCGCGGGGAGAGGTGGAGCTTTCAAGAAGAGGAGCAGATGAGGGAGGAAGAGGAGAAAGTCTCCCTGCCCCCCCCCCC